TACCTACTGGGCCTCACTTACTTACCTCTTGACCTTGCTTGTACTGTGATCACTATATATATATATGCCTACTTGTTTACGTTTGCTAGGTTGTGATCACTGTATCTCTTGCTTTGTTATAAACCTGCATGTGAACTGGTCTTGTGACCACTTGCTTGTGCTCGGAATTTGTGTGGAATCCTTGAGATCCACCCTGAGCTTGTTTTGCTTTGCTTTGACTGGTCTTGTGACCCTGTGGCTGTCTCCCACTGCGCCTATGGGGGTGTGTCAAACATTGCATGTTTATATTGTCTAGGCTGTAGTGGGTTACACCTTAGGGGGTACACAAAGTTAGGGTTTCCTACTTGTACCAAACTCTGTTCTAGTTCATTCATTCCTGCTCAGTTATTTCTGACAGGCCCTACGAAGCCACGCACGGGCATCCCAAAGAGCTGGCTTGAGGGAATGGACGCGGACGCGGTGTGTTCATCAATCTGTTGCCCGGGATGCGGCGTGGATATTCCACGCGAGTTCAAATCATCCTGTCGCAAACGCGACCGTCGACGATGCAAACGGTATCTGTGTCCGCGGTGCTAGGTGGAGCCCGTTGACCAGTTGCTGTGGATGGAACGCGGGCAAACGCGTCCCAAAAACCGCAGGCTGCACGTATGGGGTGCTCCATGTGGGGATGTGCGCGTGCATGTTATGTACGGGTGCGCTGGGCGGTTCGGCAGGATGGATTTGGGCCGCGGTAGTGTTGCCCGAAGCATTGAAGGAGGCGTCAAGTATCGGCGCCGCGACGCGATTCACGGTATGCATGCAGCGGGCGAAATTGCCCCTACTCCTATTTACTGCGTGCGTCAACATCATGCGCGATCTCTACTGGGACAACCGGGTGTGAAGATTACACCAGTACAACGCGACAGTTGTGCTCACTGACACTCGAACGCGGCCCACGTTGTTAACGCGGCCGTAGTCTGGTGAATCCAGTGTGGCATTAGAGGGAGGAGCTTGTTGTGCAACTGGCGTGCGGAAAGCGAAAATGTGGGCCTGATGGGAGTAATGACCGGTCACTGCGTGGACGTGCACGACACGTTACCCCGATCGCGTCTCGACCACACAGCGACAGCTGTGTGGCTCGTACAATTTGATGCACTTGTCAGCCTGCATGGAGCCTACCAGATCGCGCCAGGTGTTTCCGAACCGAGTTCCGCATCGCGCTTTCCAATCCTTTCCATGGGCGAACCGTGTTCGCGATATGATGCGAGACTTCGCAACCAGTGGTAGCGCTCCTTGTTTCCGCGATCGCGCAGTTGCATGCGAGGAATTCCCCGCCTGCCAATGTTACCGACCAATCGCGTTGGTTTTTTCCCGAGTCGCGCATGCATTGGCGCGTAAGAACGAGGTGGGTTCTTTCGGTTTTTGGGGGGTCGCGGAGCTTTCGGTGGAAACCTGGTGGGTTTCACTGAGCCACGCAGGGCCGCGCAAGGTCCAAAACTGGTGGATTTCTGGAGGGCCGACTTTGCCTCACGCGTCCCCCGATGTCTCCGCGCCCCGTGCATCCCAAGGCGTGGGCGGGGTTTTTCCCGAGCCGCGCCGTATGAACATCCCAGTAGTAATACCAGGAATCGTTGAAGTTCGAAGTGGGGGGTCGCGTCGCGAGAGGCGTAAAATACCAGGAAACGTTGAACGCACCACGTGCCCATCGAAGTCACGCGTACGCGAATGGCAGGCCGCTTTAACCAGTCGGCGAGTGACACATTAGATGCCCATTGCCCACTACAGTGCCTTTACAGCTGAGTGACTGTACAGCTGCCTTGCATGGCTGGCACCGAACCTCAAGCAGCTAACTACTACAAGTTAGCCGCCCATAGAGGGCCTACAAAACGACGACGACATGGCCACGAAGGCTGCTCGATGACAAGCTATCAACCGCAATGCCAACGGCTCCAGACGCATGACGACGGCAGATACCGCAAAATGGCAGCGAACTGAGGACATACAACATACGCCTTCATCTGCAACGGCTCGGTCCATCCAAGTGTTGATGGATACCTATCTATCAACTCCCGTGGTTGATGGAAACAGGAACCCTTGGGGTTCGACTGCTGCGGACACCCTTGGGCTTCACGCGCGATTTCGCGCTATTGCTGCTTCGTTATGTGTATCTAAGGTAGAAAAACATTGTAAAGTGTGATTCATTGCGTTACTTCAAGAGATAAATTCGCCTGCCTTACAACTTGGTCCACGTTAGGTTCGGTTGGAGATGACAATGGAGATCATCTCCAGTTTAGTCAATCCCAGACATGATGCAGAATGCCTTGCCTTCTTACAGGTCAGATCGGATAAATTACAATGGTTGTCAACCACTTGCTGATGCTCCCATCACAACCAACTTGCACCACCACCACGGCTTTTGGCGGCACGCACCAGTGTGATGTAGTGCACCGGTGTTGCATGTTCCATGTCATTGCATGGATATTTTAATCAGTTCTCTGCGTCACTGAGGAGGCTGAAACTCATGTCCCTCGGTTTGAGTGTGTGTCGCCTCAAAAGCACTGGTGATTCAATCCACGAGAGGTCCAGAGCTAGGGGCACAAAGCGGAGTCTGGATACACACCAGAACAACATCTAACATGTAAGGCGCCTCAAAGCCCTCCCAACCAACCCAATCGTGTCTCTCTGTTTGAGAGACACTGCTCTGTTTCCCACACAGTGTGGAATCACACACAGAAACAGCAGGTAACACTGTTGTCATGGAACCAGGGCTCAGGTTTGGTTTTGGCTAACTCACGATTGGCAGTGTGGCCTTTTCAAAAACACTTATGAGCAGTGTGAAATTTTCCAGTACACGGATCTTGCAGTGTAACTCCTTGTTTTGAGAATTTTACACTAGGTCATCAGTGTAGGTTTATTCCGTGCACTGATGGATGTATGCTTAGTCTTTTTTCTTTAGTATGCCATTCTGTAATATTAAATTGTACTCATTCACTCTACATCATGGTTGTCCTCGCTATCAGACGACTCCACTACAGCCTTGCCCTTTCCAGCACACTGCTTGTACGGGGCGGGTGTTTTTGCGGGTCTCCTCTTCTTCTGCTTCCGCCAGATGTCCACCACATCGGGCCACTTGTACTCGTAGTCCAGCATGTTGAGGGTCATCAGCTCGGATAGCCGGGCGTCGCCGAGCGATGTGCGCATCCAGCTCTTGATGACGTTTTGCCGGCTGAATCCGCGCTCGCACTCCACGGTACTTAGCGGAATGACTGCAAGCGCCTGCCACATCGATACCAGGTTCGGGAAGCTGCGTGGCCAGTCCTTGGTTTTCAGCATCTTTGCAAGCCCTTGGTAGAAGTCCTCGTCCTCGTAGTGGCGCGACATGACGTGGCAGAAGCTCTTCAGTTCCAGCTCGGCCGCACGGTGGTTGAACCCTGCAACATAAATTGACAAAAAAAGTTCAAAAATGATATCAGTCAACAGGTTTGTGGGATCCATGTTGGCACCACGAACACAGTGTGAACAGTAGAATAGCTATGTACACGTGGTCAACAGCACACCTGGCAGCCTGTTTTTGAAGACACGCGCGTTGGCGTCCAACCACTGCACCACTCGTCGCTCCCGTTTGTCTTTCGCCTCTGGCCACGACTCTACCTTGTACAATTTGCTGCCCTCCATCTCCTTCAGGCTGTACATGCGTGTGTGCAGGTTTGTCGCCACCTCCAGAGCAAACGCCCTGCACAGCTTGATGCAGTCGGCCATCGTTCCGCCGTACTTGTGTCCCTTTATCGGCGTCTCGGTCAGCACGATCTCATGCGATGTTGCCTCGCCTTCCGCATCCACGCCGTCCACCTTGATCGTCCTGTTCCCTTTGGCCATGCGAGCGATGAATGGCGTAAGCAGCTTGCTGATTCCTCCCCCAAAACCGCTCTCGTCGTACTCCACGTAGCGCAGCCTGATGCAGGCAATCGTGCGGTCCACCTCCTGGTGCACGAGCGTGATGTCAACCTGTAATCGTGGCGGAAACACGTTGACAGCGGTAAGAGCTAACAACCCAAAATGCATAACTCCAACTACAGTAAACATCAAACTATAAATAGCTTACTCTCCGGCGCTGGAAAAACTTGTTGAGGGTGTTGATCTCAGCCAGGAGATCCGCCAGGAAGTAGACGCAGAAGTGGAACTTCAGAGACTGCACCGTGGCGGCTAACTTGTGGCCGTACTCGATGAAGACTACGACCGCCGCACCTAGGACCTTGCACAGCCGCTGCACGGCGTCTCCACGCGACAACCACCTCACGTCGAAAAGGCCCTGGTGCTCGAGGTTTGTCTTGTGGATCTCTTGTTGCAGCTCCTTGAAGCGCTCGTGCCAGACGGACGACTTCGTGGCGATGTCGCCGAGCGCACGGATAGTTGCGTCCACGAAGTCGAGGTCTTTGTACTTCAGTGCCGACTCCTTCACTGCAAGTACTTCTCTGCACATGGTTTTAAAAAACTGTCAGAACACTTGAAGTTGCCTGACTGAACAACACGGGAAAACCATTGACGTCGCATACCTGTGTGCTATGCAGTGCGTGCCGACGAGATGAGGGATGCGCTCACGGAGGCACACCGTCAAACCCCGCTCGCAGCCAACCATCACACCCGCTCCGTCGGTGCTGATGGCGACGATCCGCTGCAGTTCTAGACCGACGGTCTCCAGGTGGTTTAGGAGGACGGTGAAGATACTCGCAGCATCACACTTCTGCACGGTTAGCAGCGCGAAGAATTCTGTCGCCACTTGCCGATCCTTCACGAACGTCACGAAAACTACCAGATGCTTCCCGCGCGCTCTGTCTGTGCTCTCGTCACAGCTGATGCCGATCCAAGGTGACGCGTGTATGTACATCAGCTGTTGCTGCTGCTGATAAGTGCACATCGCCTTCACCATCTCCTTGAACCCGTACCTGCAATTCGCGCAAACATGGGTTAGCATCCAAATGATATGTATTCATTAACAGAATATGGGAAAGCATGAACAGCACTCACTCCGTGATATAAACACCGTAGGTCTGTAGAGGAATGTCCGAAACACCCTCTCTGGTCAGAAACTCCACGAGCCTTGGGTACATTGAGATCGGTGCGTCCTCGTCGCACACAAATTGAATGCTCCGCATGAGCCTGATGACGCGCGCGCCTTCAGGGTCTGCTCTCTCGTAGTCGTCGATCTTCTTCTGCGCAGCCAACTTGTCCAGAAGCCCCTGCTGCCGCTCGATGCACTCCTCGTGTCGAGTGCTGGCCTGGTGCACCCGCATCGACGCTGGCTGCAAGTCGCGTCCGCCACATCCATTCCTCCCGTAACGAGCGTTGTCTGGGCCATGTTCACTGCACACACTGCAACGCAAGCATGGCAGACCATCCTCACCCTTGTCGAGCAACAGCCAATCAAACTGCGGGAGCCATTTCGTGATGTAGTTTCGCTGAGCTTCCAGGAACTTCGCCTCCGCGCGTTCAGCTGCAGTCAGCTTAAGAGGTGACGGCGCTGGAGTGACCTTGGGAGGTGGCGGTGGTGGAGGCCTCACGAGAGGCGTGCCGCTCGCAAACCCAATGGTGGTCTGCGTGTAGCGCCGTCGTTTCAGCGCCACCGAGTTAGAAGACTCCGGTGCTTCGGTAACGACCTCCGTCGTTTCCACGTTGTCGCGCGCGACGGGGTCCCCCTCAATGCGCGTGGGACGTTGCCATTCAGCTTCCTCGTCCTCTACCTCCTCCTGGCGCGGTGGTGATTGCCGCACTGCTGTGCGCACTGGATGATGCCACCCCTCACTGTCAACATAGGGTTCGGCGAAAGTGCTGGGTCCTGGTTCAGAAGCATTGCCTTTCAAGAAATCGAGGCTAGTCCTAGGCCTGTTGCTACTGGAAGGGTCTCCATCATCTGCATCGTCAGCGTCCAGGTCTCCAGGGGCTGCCATGGCAACGAGGTAGACGTCGCTCGGCTGCTAGGGAGGGAGGTTAGAACAAGAGGAACTAGGTGGGGATGGTGGAACGACGGTGCGGGGCGACACTGCATCTGTGCTTGCCCTACCCACAAGGCAATGCATCCAGACCGATACACCGAGTGCGCCTCGGTCGGGGAGATGGATGACAAGTGCACGCACCGACCATCTGAATGTGGTCCTGGTGAAACCACCAGATTCAGGCAGCAATACTGTACTTGATGGCAACACAGGGTTTCGTGGCGAGCTGGCTAGGGAATTATTCCAAACGGACCAATGGGAGAGGTGACTGCTGCCAACGCACATACTGTATGAAAGGTACCCTCGGTACTTGCGTGATTGACGGAAATCACAATCTGACAACTTCCCGGGAACAGGGGGGGGGGGGGTCTGTACGCCCTTCAGTGTAAACCTCGCTACCGGAAACATTACCCCAGAGCATCAGTGTGGACTAAACCGATACACTTACAGATCAGTGTAACACTAATGCCCAAAAATTTACCCCAGGCCATCAGTGTACATTGAAAATTTTACCCTTGTCAGCAGTATAGAAGGGTAAATTACACTGATAACCTGAGCCCTGCATGGAACCCTAGAGAATCAGGTGCCTGGCAAAACCAGGTGGTAGTGCAAGTGTAGTCAGTGAATCTAGGTACCTGAAGTGAACGCTGGAGCTGGCAGAGCTGACGTGTCAATCAGACTATTTTGTGTATGGGGATGCTGGGTCTCCACACGAAATGCCTCCACAGTATGCCCATACATGCCCTTACATGCCCCTGCATGCCCATACATGCTCATACATTCGCATGCATGCACATACATGACCAAGCATGTGCATACATGCCCATACATGCCCACACATGCCATACGTGCCCACAAATGGCCCCATACATGCCCATACATGCATACATGCCAATACATGCCCATGCTGCCATTACATGTCCATACAAGCACACTGTCCCTACATGCCCATTCATGGCCGTGCATCCATGCATTCATGCTGCCATTACATGTCCGTCTGCACATGCCTACGTATCAGGAGAACCTGAAGCACTGGAATTAGGCAGGAAACCGAATCCGATTTGCACCTCCCACAAATTCAGCACCATAGAATGTCATTTTCTCTTCCGTCTTCTCTTGGGTACCCCCTCAGAATGAGCAAACTGCTCCAATTCCTGCTTCTTACCACCTTTTATTGATTCTTTCCCTTCAGAAATACCCTTTCCTCCGTTTCCTCTATTGTCTCCCCCGTCTTCCTCGCCTTCCTTCTCATCCGCATCTCCCATTTCACCAAATTCCGGCGCTCTAAACCCAAGATCCTTGATAATATCCCAAGCCGCTTCATCAACAGGCATCACCGACAGCCGTGATTGGCGGACCAGCGCGATGTGACTCAATCGCGAGTCCTCCTTAATAGCACGCAGCGTGACCGGGCTCGGAAACGCCTCAACGGTCTCCACATCCACCATGCCGAATTTCTCGGTTTTGTCGCTGGGATCGGGGTAATACTCCTTGCAGATTCGGACAATCCCCATGACTCGACGCTCCTTGCCTAGAAAAGAAAATAAAAGAAACCAAAAAAAATCAGTCGGTCAATATGCTGCGAATGAGACGTACCAGATGAAGTGAAGCTTTAAATTCAATTGGAAAATCCCCACAATCCGCACAAAGGTCAGAACTGGACTGTTGTCAAGTCAAGCTCCCTCGCCTTACCTGAGTGAAAAGGAGTAGCGGCCGATATTCTAAGACGCCTACAAGGATGAATGTCTGGTCAAGCTGGCCTTGCCTTTTGAGGCGCCTAAAAAAATTAGTTCAAGCTCGCTCGCCTTGCCTAAATGATAAAAGAAGGCGAGGTCGCCAGGCTTCATGGCTTCCATGTAGCTCGCCGCTTGACAAAGAACAGCACAGTAACAAAGTACCAATTCGTATAACTACGGTCAGACCTGGACAATTGTAAGGTCAAGCTCTCGCCTTGCCTGAGTGGTAAAAGAAGGCGAGGTCGCCTGTCTTCATGGCTTTCATGTTGTTCGCCGCCTGGTGGTTTCGCACGCCGTCCCACGGCTCTACTCCCTTCGCCACCTGCTCGTCCCATGACCACGTCTCCGGCTCGGATTTCAACAGCCACTTCGCACACATCACAGGCACCCGCGGCTCTGACCAGCGTTTGCTGTTGTTACGGCTGCTGCTGCTACGAGTTGCTAAGTACCGCAAGAAAGTGGCATCGGAAAAGGATAAACTTCTTAAGCCGGGACTGAGAAGTGAAGAGAGCACGAGGCCTGAATGACTCGGTTTATTTGACAGAGAGACGATCCGAGCGAGGGTGGCTAAAACGCGAGCGGGCGTACCGGAGAACGTAGCAGAAAGCATGAAGGCGTCTCAGCTGTAGAACAGCCAGCTGGCATGGCGTCCTCCTATGGCAAGCCTGACCATTGTCACGACTACGGACAAGGTGGAAGATTACGGAATCTCCTAAACATACCTCCTTGGTCTTAGACGAACTTGTTGGGAGCGTTGCGGCCAGAGGATGGCGACCATTTCTGTGGTAACTGCGCGAATGTCGGTGCGCAGAAAAATTCCGCAGTCAGAGCTGCTTGTCGTAACTCACGAACATCTGCGAGACGTCTAGAATGTGTCAGGTGCTTCCACCATTTGTGCAATCTGTTACAGGAGCGCAAACATGTCACCACTAATAATAATAAAACTTGCCACATAAACAATGCCCTACGTCTGATCCTAGAATGTACAACATACATGTGAACAGCTACAACATGACCATCTAGACACGATTGTGTATATCAGGATCATGTTTTGCCATCATTCAAAACCTAATACATCAATATATTGCAAGATAATGAAGTGGGAGTGTAATCATAGCTACCGAAGGACTGGACCACGACGGTTGCTCCTTGGTGTTCCCTCACCGGAAAGTGGCCTGCCATCAAGAGAATCCCAAGATGCATGGCAGATGACGTAAAATACATTCAGACTTTTCTTCCTCCTAATGTGCACTGTCAGAATGGACGTGGTTATGAATGCATCTTTGAAACGATCATTATCTGGCAAACAATCATCGGGAAAGGGAGGGGATGGACTGGAAATGCGAGGAGGATGTTTGAACAGGGGGGAGAAAGAGGAGGAGGTACCATACCTGTCTTGCTGCCATTTTCCGGAGAGCTGACGGAATGGTGCCGGCGCTTCAAAGGCGGTTCTGACAGTCACCTTGCTTGCACTCGCAGCCACAGGTGGAGTGTGCAGGGGTGCAGATGCCATCACCCCGTCACCTGAGAATGAAAGGACGCGGGCGCAGTCTGATACACTAGTTTGAGACGCCACATATGGGAGACAAAAAAACAGGTAGTTCTCACATGTGCTAAGGCAAGAGAGGGGTGTTAAAGAGAAAAAGAGTTATACGGGATACGGGTAATGGAAAGGGAGAGAAAGGGGGCGGGCTGGATGGGAGGGGAAGAGGATGGAGTGAAATGTACCTGATTGTGGGCCGCCAGGAATCAAAGGCGCATTCTCATCACTCCCAGCGCACTTGCCCACGCCACTCCCCCAGCCACGCTTCTTCGTGCTCCCACCACCAACCCCGCCATGCCCCACAGTCCATCCAGACCCCTTCCCTCTGCTCCCCTTCACACTCCCACCACCACCACCATCCTGGCCTTCACCACTGGCCTCCACCCCACCTCCACTGTATCCCCCACTCTCTGGGCTGAAGGGCAGATTGGTCATGGGCGTGTAAAACTCCTCGCCCTCCCCTCCTCCAGTCCCACAGCTCACAGAAGCAGCAGCACCGCGCCCACTGCACCCAGCTGACGTGGAGGCACACAGAGCAGCACTGATACCAGCACCACCTGCAGCAGTAGCTGCTGCGGCTGCACCCTCATTGCTGGCCCCCACACCCCTGAACCCAAACGGACTGCGAGTGCCGTCCCGGATGGCCCCCATGCCGTGGATGGCGGTTAGCACGCTCCCCAGCCGCTGCCGCACCCGCCGTGACCCCTGAGCTGAATCCGAGGGCCGCTGCTGCCTGGGCTCGCTTGCAGGGGCAGATTCGCCTCTGTCTGCTGTACCTGCTGCTGGCTGACGGGGTCTGAGAGGGGAGTCGAGAGCCACTGCCTTTGGTGCTGCTGCGAGCTGCATGTGCAAAGAGGTGATTTGTGCATCCTGGATAAGGCGGGAGGGACGGGACAGGGGAGGGATGGGACAGAAGTGAGATACACAATGAGCAGTTTTGCTCCATCAGCTGTCTGCTGTGTTGCACTGTGCTGCGCAGTTGCACTGTGCTGTGCTGTGCTGTGCTGTTTGAGTTGCACGGGGTTGGCTGAACGAGTGGTATGGAAAGAGACAACCAGAAGGTAACACTCCTGACCAGCCACATTTGGAATCAGCCATGCCCTGAACGAGCTACAAGCCACCAAGACGCCTCACCTTGGCCTTGACCTCCTCTTCCAGTTGCTCCACCCGCCACACCAGCCTCTCCACCTCGGCGCTCTTCCCACCCAGCTGCTGCTGCGCCTCCCTCAGCTGCTGCAACAGCCCCTCCACCTGCTTCGCAGCAGCCTCCTGCCGCCGCACTGCCTGCTCCCACTGCTCCCGGCCCTGCACCTCCATCGCTGTCACGCGCTTCATCAGCAACACCACCTCCTTCTCCTTCGCATCCTTCACCTGCTGCAGCCATTCCACCTCCTTCTCCAAACGTCTGCTCAGCTCTCTTCCTTGCCCAGAGCACGCTGCAGCATCGCCCACTGCAGCCACTGCCACCTGCTGCCGCTTCTCCTCAATCTCCTTCTCAACCTCCACTGCCTCAGCCGCCACTCGCACCGTCCTCTCAACCACCTGCTGTCGCCCCACCTCCTCCTCCGCCCTCTCCCTCACTGCCCCCTCCACTGCCCGCTTCTCCCCCTGCACCCGCTGCAGCGCCCGCCCCACCTCCAGAAACTCCCGGTTCTGCTGCTGGAAGGCCCGCTCTAGCTCGCCCCACTGCGCCTCCCACGCGCCCACCTTGCCCTCCACCTCCTCCACCAGCTTCCTCAGCGCGTACACGCCTCTCAGCACGGACCCTCGCAGCCAGCAGGTGTCGTCGTTTGCCATGAGGGCATCGAATCCTGCTCGCACCAGCTGCTGTGCCATTCTGACTTGCCTGGATACCACGGCTGGAGCGGGGAGGGTTAGCCCCTCACTGGGACTCGCTATAGCTCGTTCTGCCTCCTCGCTCACCAGATTCTTCGACTCTCTCTCCTCTAGCTTGCTGCTTCCCTCTGCCTTCACGCCCAAGAACCCCAGCAGCAGCACCCTCTGCTTCTGCAGCGCATTCAGTACCCCCTCCACTTGCTCTGTTCCCACTCCTTGCTTTTCTTGTCCTGTCCGCTCCTCCTCCACTGACCCGCTCACTCCCGCCTTCCCCCGTCCATCTACCCCCGCTGGCTCGCCCTCTCCCTCGCCTGCACCAGCACCTGAGCCTCCCTCGCCGAGCGAACCACATTCCCCTTCTACCCCTCCTGCCCCCACCATCCCTTCTGTCCCCACCATCTCTCCTGCTCGCAGCTTGGGTTCCATGCGGGAGGAGAGGCCGTTGAGCCCAGCCCGGCACAGCACGAGGGTCAGTAGACTCTCCACCAGCACCACCTGAGCCAACACCCCCCGCACCTCCTCCACCTGCATGCGCCTCTGCTCCGGCCCCACATCCGCACCCATTGTACCAGCCTCTGCACCGCATTCCGCCCCTCCCTGCCCACATCCCTGCTCTGCATGCCCCTGTTCTTCCTTGCCTTCCTGATCCTCTACCCCATTCTGCTTCAAGTGCAAGTCCAGCTCTCCCTGTTCCTGCTCCAGCTGCCGCCACCTTGCCTTCCATCCCTCCACAATTTCGTCCCCACCTCCTGCTCCCATCCTCCCTCTGTTCCCAACACCAGACCCTCCAACCCCTCCATCCCCAGCCCCGGCATCGCTCAACAGCGGGCTCACGAGCAGCTTCTGCAGTGCTCTCTCCCGGGCCACCACTGCAGCAACGCGAGCATGCATCTCGCTGCACCGTTGCTCCGCCACAGCAGCGCGGCCCATGGTGCCCTTGGTCTGCTCCTCTGCAGCAGCCAGACGCGCCAACAGCTCCTGCACCTGCCCAACAAGCCGCTGCTGCTCCTGCCCCTGCTGCTCTTCCCCCTTGTGCCCATCAGCATTCTTCTCACGCTCCTGCTCTCCATCCACCTGCTGTGGCCCACTTTCAGCTTTCACGCCCAACCCACCGCCCTGCAGCTCCTCGTTTTCGCTCTTCCCCACAGCCCTCACCGCCCTCGTCTTGCTGCTGCCCACCCCCTCAGCCTTAGCCTGCAGCCTCTCGCACTGCTGCTCCAGCGCCCTCACCTGCTCCGCTAGCTGTCTGTTCCTGCTCTCCACCTCCCCCACATGCTCCCGCACAACGGCCAGTGCTTCGTCCACGTCAGCCATGAGCTCCTCATCCGCATCATCCACGTCAGCAGCTACCTCCACGTCAGCTGCATGTTCTACCCTAAATTGACTCTCAAGGGGTCCACCCGCTGCCGTTCTCCCCGTTACCAGCTGCTCCAGCCTACGACTCAGCCTAGCCAACTTGCTCCGCAGCCTCGCCCGTTCCTCTTCCATCTCACCCATCTCCTCCCTAGCCGCTTCCAGCCTCGCCTTCACCGCACTCAACTCCTCACAAAGCACCACGTTCCTCGGCCCCACCACCATCAGCTCCTCCAATAACTCATCCCTCTGCGCCTCCAGCCGCAGATACATCAGCCCAACCTCCTCCTTCTCATCCTCCTCCGCCTGCTCCCTCTCCGCCTCCCTTTCCAGCGTATGCAGCAGCGCCAGCTCCAGCGCCTGCCCTTTAGCCCGCAGCTGCTGCACCACCTCCCGCATCCTCACCATAAGCGGACCCGCCTTCTGCATCCTCCCGGACAGGCTCTTCACCTGGGCGTGCGCAGCAGCGAGCTGTTTCACCATGTGCCGCACCTGCACCTCCATCAGCCTCAGCTTCTCCGCCTGCGCCTCTGCTTGGCTTACTGGCGCACTCCTCCTCCGCTTCTTCTTCTCTAGCCGTCGTCCCAGCGCACCCTGCGTGGTACCTTCACCCCCTGCATGCACTCCCGCTGCCCCAGTGACTGCATATCTGAGCAGGTCGCTGTCCATGTCAGCGCTGGCAGAAACGTTGTCTCCAGCAAAGGGAAGAGTCCACCTGTTTGCGAGAAACGCGTTGGCAGAAGCGGAGGCAGGTAGCGCGGGCATGTCTGCTGCCGTGCCGAGGCGAATTGGGCTGGGGCCAGAACCAGCGGCTCCTGCGCATGCATCAGCAGTCTTCCCTGCTGCATCTGCTACGCTGCTGCCTTTATCTGCTCCTTGCGAAGTGCTTGCCCTGTTAGTCACATCACGAAGCTCTGTGAGGCACAGAGTCATGGGGCTAAGAACGCCCTCCTTCTCCTCCTCCCCACGTGCCTCCACTGCCTCATCATCATCCTTCACGGTCTCTTGCCACCTCCTCTTGCTTCCGCTACCTCCTCCCGAATGCCTTTCCTGCTGTTCCTGCTGCTCCTGCTGCCCCTCCTCCTTCTCCTCTTCCTCCCCCTGCTGCTCCTCTTCCGTTTCCTTCTCCAGCATTATAGCCTCCTCCAGCAGACCCACCCTCTCCTGCTCCAGTCGCTCCACCCGTTCCTTCGCCTCCCGCAGACCCTGCAGCGCCGAGCACAGATGCTCCTCCAGCTTCAGGTTCACCTCCTGCAGCTTGCGCCCCCCAGCAGCGAACTCCTCCGCCTCCCTCCGCGCCCTCTCCGCCGCCTCCTCTGCCCGCCTCTGCCTCTCGCAAGCAGCCTCCAGCAGCCCGTCCCTGTCGCCCACCTTCTCCGCCAGGTCTATCACCCACTCCCTCTCCGTCCTCAGCTCCTCCTCCAGCCTCGCTATCCTCTCATCCAACTCCGACCGCTTCTTTGAGGCATCTGAGCCATCAGCACCATCAGCACCGTCAGTGCCGTCAGCATGACCGTCTGCCTCCCTGTTCCCGGTGCCTCCCTCTGCTGCAGCCCACAGCAGCTCCCTCTCCACCTCCAACGCCTGCACCTTCTCCTCTAGCTCCACCTGCTTGCCCTTCATACCCTCAACCTCCTCCTCCAACACCCTCTTCTGCTCTTCGAGCTCCCTCACATTCCCCCTCGCGGCCTCCTCCATCTCCTGCTTCTTGCTCTTCATCTCCTCAAGCTCCTCCTCCAATTCTCTCATCTTCTCTTCCAACGCGCCCTCCTTCTCCTTCCCAGCGTCCTCCACCTCAGCCAGCTTTCGCCTCATCCCCTCTAACGACTCCTCCAACGATCTCTTCTTCTCTTCAAGCTCCCGCACCTTCTCCCTCCCAGCAGCTTCCGCCTCCGTCTGCGCGCTCCTCATCTCCTCTATAGCCTCTTCCAGTGCCTTCCTCTGTTCTTCCCACGCCCTCTCCTTCTCCGTCCCAGCAGCTGCTGCCTCTGCCGCCTGTCCCTCAGCCTTCGCCCTCTCCTCCACCAACTCCTCCACCTGCTTCCGCAGAACTTCCAAATCAGCCCGCAGCTGTGCTGCTTCAGCTGCGCTCCTCCCACTCTCAGCCACGCTCCTCGCAAGCTCGGCCTTGCATGCCTGCAGGTCCCGAATGAGGGCGGCGCTCTGAGCGTGGTGCTCCGCGGCCTGCACCTTGAGAACCGACTCTGCTTGCTGGGTGGCCGCCAGCTGCTGCAGCAGCTTGCCCACCTTTGCCTCCGCCACTCCGCACCGCACCCGCGCCTGAACACACAGGAGGGGTGCACATGGACGCAAATTAGTGAGCATCGCTGTAGAGAACGGAGTGGATCAGTTCAGATTTTGAGTTAAGCAAAAGTTGAAAACGGAGACAAGGTTGTAGATATTCAAGATCAAACAATCAAGTGATTTTCAAATGTTAAAAAACGGTGATAGCCCACGTTACAGAACCAGCACTCAAATCCTCAACCGGACACTCACATCGTCAAACTCGTGCTTGCGGTCGTTGACGCTGCGCTGCAGCTGCCGCGTGTTGTTCACCTCCAGGCGGTACTGCTCTGCCACTGCCGCCACCTTCTTCACCTGCCATGGCAGTCACAGTTTGGGAGAAGAAAATTCCTGTCAGCTGGGTGACATTCACCATAGAGCCACTTGTTGTTCACCACCATGCGGTACTGCTCCGCCACTGCTGCCACCTTCTTCACCTTCAAGTCACAGCATGGGAAACACGAATGTCAGGCAATAATGCTTCGCCACAGCAGGTTCTGCTCCTCTCCACTCAGCTGCCCACCCCTCCTCCCCACTCACATCTCTCCACACCCCCCATTCACATCCCTCCTTTAACTCCCTACTCACACCCGCCCCTCTCCTCCCCACTCACATCCCTCCCTCACCCTCCACCCCACTCACATGCTCCTCCATGCCAACGAGTTTCGCCCGGAGCTCCTCCTTCTCCCGCTGCAGCACCTCCTCCTTGCCGCGCAGAGCCTCGTTCTCATCAAACGCCTCCTTGAGCTCCTCCCTCAGCGCGTTGTTGAGGCGCTCCAGTGCCGCCACCTTGTCCGCCTCGCTCGTGCCCGTCTGCAGCTGTTCCTCCAACTCGCTGATGCGCGCTGCAATGGAAGTGGGAGGAAAGAGAGAGAGTGAGAGAGAGAGAGAGAGAGAGAGAGAGAGAGAGAGAGAGAGAGAGAGAGAGAGAGGAACCTTAGCCCTCTGCCCTCGGCCTTCTCCCTCTGCCCTCTGCCCTCCCGGCCTATTTAAGGTCTGCTCTAGCCTGCTTCTCCTCATTATTTTGTCGTGGGTTCATTTTCGGCGCTCGCGAGCGAGAGAGAGAGAGAGAGGAACCTTAGCCCTCTGCCCTCGGCCTTCTCCCTCTGCCCTCTGCCCTCCCGGCCTATTTAAGGTCTGCTCTAGCCTGCTTCTCCTCATTATTTTGTCGTGGGTTCATTTTCGGCGCTCGCGAGCGAGAGAGAGAGAGAGAGAGAGAGAGAGAGGAACCTTAGCCCTCTGCCCTCGGCCTTCTCCCTCTGCCCTCTGCCCTCCCGGCCTATTTAAGGTCTGCTCTAGCCTGCTTCTCCTCATTATTTTGTCGTGGGTTCATTTTCGGCGCTCGCGCCGGCGGCCTTCGGCCGCGCGTTTGGGGCGGCAAGTCAACACACAACGGGAGAGCTTATAAGGGGGGGCATACGCAAAGCTACACGCAAGGGAGAAGACCTACAACAAAGAGCAACAGAGATGCAATACTACAAGAGACGGAGGCCTACATCGTGTACGGCTCCGCCCCCTCTACCTCAAGCATGGAGCGCATGCACGCCGACATTGACAGCAGGAGGTGCGCCGACGACTGAAGCGTGTCCACCGGAGTCCCGCCTCGAGCAACCCCTACAAGATCCCCCATGTGGCGGGGGAAAGTACGGGCTAAGGGCGCTACCCCGGCGGGCGCTTCCGACACGGGTGCCAATGACGACTCGAGCGATTCTGCCAAAGACACGCAGGATCCTCGGGATCCTGGACCGTAACTGCTCGGAAAGCTCCGCGTGGCCCCACACACCGCCAGCTGCAGATTCGCCACCACCTCGCACGCCTCCACCAAATTCAGAAGACGACACATGGTCAGCATGGGGTCTCTCCCCGCGGGAATGGGGGGAGGTGCAGTCGGTGCTTCGCTCGGAAACACCGTCGGCCAGCCAGGAGTCCGGCCAACAGAGAAGCGCGGCACGGAGAAGCTGGGGAGCTGACGAGGGGTGCGGAACTGAGCCCTCTGCTCACGCGCTGGCAGATAATCACGCAGGGTCGGCGCACGCAGGGGAGCAACCTGGCCAGGGTCCGCTGCGATGGGGGGACCGTTGGTCACCTCAACGTGGACGTGAGTCGGCCCCCCGCTTGCCTGGGCCTGCCGCACCACCTCCACAAACGTGTTCGCGGCGCGATCGAGGGCAGGATCCTGCTGGCGACCACTACCGCCACGCCCTCCGCCATTGCGCCGGCCCCGCCGGCCCGCGGAACCTGCCGAGCGCGGACGCGGGGGGGTCTGCTCGCGGCGACCCGATTCCCAGCGACGCCCAGGCGACCCCCTCCCCCGCGTCGCCGGAGGTCCCCGCGGAGAGCGTGGCTCGGGGGATCGCGCTCGGGGTGAGCGCTGGCCTGCCCGACCACGAGGAGATGGGCGGCGAGGAGAGCGATGGCCGGCAGGGGACAGCTGATCGTCAACGCCGTCCCGCTGATCTTCGCAACGCTCTGGGGACCGGCGGCGAGGAGATTGCTGCCGCGGCTGCTGCCGGGGCGGCGAACGCCCGCGCTCCTGACGCGGCTGAGCAGCAGACCGGTTTGAGGCAATCTGAGCGGGGACCCACGAAGACTCCGGCGTATGAGGCTGCCGAACATGTCGCAGAGGAAGAGACAGCCCGCGCTCCAGGCAGGGGACAGGCTCAGACGCGGAGGGGCGCGCTGCAGCAAGAGGACGAGGAGCAGCAGGCCCCTGCGCACGGGGCGGATCGAGCCGTGCGCTCTCTGCAGTACTCTCCTGCGCGCAGTCGCGACCCGCGGTTGGGTTCATTACGCCGGAGCACGGAGCCACGGACGCCAGCAGGCCGCCAAAGACGAGGCCGTGGTTCTACCTCCGCGCCTCAGCCAGCACGCCGCGACGCAGAGGCAGGCACGACGCCGCGAGGTATCCGCGTGGCTAGAGGTGGGAGACGAGGCGGACGCAGAGGAGGCGTCTCAGTTCAACGACGCGGGGCTAGTAGCTTCGCGAGGGCCGCTCACCGGATCCTGCGGGAGAGAGCTGGAGATGGAGAAGAATCGAGTGATGAAAATTCTGTGGGTGACCCACTTTTTAACCCTGAAAGAGAGGGGAGTTCTAGTCCCTCTCCTCAGGTGGAAGAGGCAGAGCAGCACGAGGAGTTGGCTCAAAACCCAACACATAGCCGAGGCGCATCTGCAGTTCGAATTGGGAGACAGATTCGAGACGGGGGGGGGAACCGAGCCGCACAAATTGCAGATGGCACCCCTTCCCGAACCAATCAGCAGGGCGCAGACTTACCCACCCGCCAGCCAATGTTCAGTGCTGGCGACCTGGCAAAACGCCAGGACCTTTTCGCCGACGTCGCAACATGGGACCTCAACCCCCTTCGCGACAGCAGGCAACCTCCACTCGCCCGTCACCCACCTTTTCGCTGCCTGCCTCCTCACCCCACTGTTACACCTCGCCAAAGACCCCGGCTCACCTGCGGGGTGGAGGCTGTTAATGTTCCTCCCGCGCATCCTATTGCGCACTTCGTCAGCCAAACGCCCAGATTGGTCGAAGGTTGGCGCCAGGTTAATTCAGTTCCGCCAGGGCCTCTGGCGGAACCTGTATGACGAGGCGGCTGACGCAGTATCCCAACCCCCACAGCCCCGCCACGCGCCGGACACCACAGGCATCCTGGCAAGGGCTGAGGGTTTGGCCAAACGAGGAAACCTGGCGAAATCGCTCCAATCCCTAACAGCCACGCCAGTCTCCCCCCCATCCACGGACGTGCTCCAAGCCCTCTCAGCTAGACACCCTCATGCGCGCCAAGCCGTCCCTGACTGGGTACCGGAGTTCACCACTGACTCAACCCCTACAATCCATCCACGCGACTTCAGGCGCATCCTCGCCAAGTGCCCGAATGGAGTGGGCGCTGGCCCCTCAGGCACCACCTTTGAACACCTGAGGGACGCTGCCTTAGGAAACACAGACATTTTCCTACAGTTGCACGCACTTACGAACACTGCGCTGGCCGGTAAACTTAGCTCTGAAGCGGCAGAACTTCTCACAGCATCACGGCTGCTCGCATTCGCCAAGCCACATGGGGGTACACGGCCGATTGCGGTGGGCGAGTGCCTGCTACGGCTTGTCGCCAAAGCGGCATTATTCCTGGCGGCCGAGAAGGCACGTGAACACTTCGCTCCGCTCCAATTCGGCGTGGCGATAGCTGGCGGCATTGAAGCAGCAGTGCATACCGCCAGAACGTACCTGGAGGAGAATACAGGGGCTGTGGCGCTGCAGATTGACCTAGCGAACGCCTTTAACGCGGTCGAGCGAGCGGCGGTGTTCGATGGCCTGAAAGGGACCAGCCTGGAATTCTTAGTGCCCCTGGTCCGGCTTACCTACGGCGTCCCCTCGGCGCTGCACCTCGACCACGAGTTTCACGCTCCCCCCCTGCAGTCCGCGCGCGGCGTACGTCAAGGGGACCCGCTGGGCCCGCTTCTCTTCGCCGCTAGCATACACCCTTGCCTGGTAGCTGCGGCGGAAGCACATCCGGGAGTCGTCTTTCTCGCGTACGCTGACGACATTACTCTCCTGGGGGAAGCTGAGGCGTGCACGGAGGCTTTCACTCACCTCACCACCGCCCTGCTATCCCTCGGCCTGGAACACAACCCCGAGAAGTGCGCGGCGTGGTCAGCCGCGCACACTGACCCCGCCTCCCTCCCTGCGCACGTACCTTTCTCGGCGGATGGGATCCGCGTCTTGGGGAGCCCAATCGGGCCGCAGGCAGGATGCGCGGCCTTGGTGCAGGAGCGCCTGTCGGCAGCAGCAGAGCCACTTCCGCTCCTCTCACAAATGGATCCGCAGCTGAGCCTGCTCCTCCTGACACGCTGCGTGAGCCGCCGCGCCTCGTACCTGGTTAGGACAACGCCCCCGGAGATGCTGCCAGCAGACACTTGGTCGGCGTGGGGGGAGCAGCTGCTGCACACGTACCTGACCGCGGCGCACACGGCGATACCCGTGACACTGGGCGGCCTCGGCATCACCAATCCAGCAACGGAAGGGGTGTTCGCTTACCTAGCCTCGGTCATCTCCTCCGCCCACCTGCTGCGCTCGTTCGGTGACATTTTGCACCCCGCAATAGACCAGCTGCTGCCGCTACTGGATGCAAACGCCGACTCACCCTCGGTCCTGCCTCGGCGCCTTGCAGCGGCAGAGGCCACGCTGCCCCCGGATGGGCTGGAGGCTCTACAGGCCGGCCGGCGCGGTACAGATGGCCTGAAGCTACAGCAGGCCTTGTCGCTGGCCGTTCACACCGCTCGCTACATCGAGGTGCTCGATGCCTCGCGGGAGATGCCTCTGAACCCGCTCTTCGGCCACACCCAACGCCTGCAATCACTCCTCGGCCCCGGGGCAGGAGATTGGCTGCTGGCCATCCCCCTGACCCCAGCTCTTCGCCTCGGCCCCCCGCAGCACGCCACCGCATCCTCCTTCCGGCTAGGCCTCCCCCTACCTGTCCCTCGTCGTTGCGACTGCCGTCACCGCACAACCTTCCCGGACCACCGCCTCCCCAACCACCTAATGCGTTGCGAGAAAGGCGGCGGGAGAATTGCCACTCACCATGCTCTTCGTGATGAGTGCGCAAGGATTGCGGCGGAGGCGGGCTACACGGTGCACAAGGAATCCACAATTTACTCACCGGTCGAAAACCTGAAAGCGGATGTTTGCATCCGCCATCCCGACACCGGCGAGGTCCACATGTGCGACATCACCGTGACGGACCCTGTCTCTCACCAGGACGAATACGCACGTAAGGCACCGGGGTGGGGGGCTAGGATGCAAGCCGCGAAGAAGGAGGACAAGTACGCTCGACGGAACGCGTGGGTAGGCTTCCACGCCATGGCGGTCGAGACATACGGCTACCCCTCCCCGGGAGTACACGACTTCCTCCGCAGCTGTGCCGAGCTCGCGGGCAAGCGGCGGTTCAACGCAGCGCCAAAATCGAGGGAGGTGGCCAGGCTGCTCACGGAATACCGGCAGCGCTGGAGCGTCACACTCCAGCGCGCCCAGGCCAATGCCCTCCGCGACAAGACCCACGAGGCCTTCGCCGCGGACGAGCTCGGCCTGCAGGGACCGTTTGGCTGCCTAGGGGAGGAGCAGCTGTACCAACTGCTGGAAGACCCTACCGGCCAATAGGGTCGTGGGGAGAAGGGGCAGGCGATGGAGAAGTTGTAGTACTTACCTGTTTGTTGCTTGTTGAGTCTTGTTTGTTTGTTTAGATTAGCTTACGCTTAGTACCTCTGTGTGTTCTGCCTTGCTGATTAATACGAAGGACCATTCGAGAGAGAGAGAGAGAGAGAGAGAGAGAGAGAGAGAGAGAGAGAGAGAGAGAGAGAGAGAGAGAGAGAGAGAGAGAGAGAGAGAGAGAGACCGCCCCACACTTTGCCACTGGTGGAAACCACACTCAACCCCAACCCCCTGAGGAAAGATCCCCAGAATCTCTTGCCAAGGATGACGCCCTTTTCGCCAGCGTGACCACTTGGGATTTAGCGAAATTGCGCGACTCTCGCCACGCCCCTCTCTCCCGCCACCTCCCATCAGACCCACGCAAACTCTTCGCCACAGCACTGCTTGTACCTCTCCTGCGATTGGCTGAAAACCCAGATTCGGATTCTGCTTGGACGTTGTTGCTGTTCGTCGCACGTTTGACTCTCCGCCAGATGTCACCACATCGGCCAGACTGGAAGGCTGTTGAGACCCGCCTTCGCCAGTTTCTGTCTGGAGAATGGGACAAACTGTACACTGAAACAGTGGCATCCCTTTCGTGGCACCAGCCACCCAGACACCAGCCCGATGACAATGGCGTCATCGCAAGGGCGGAAGGTCTCGCGCGACGTGGCAGCTTACGGCGTGCCGTGCTGGCGCTAGAAGCCACGCCAGTCAGCACTCCTTCCCCAAGTGTGCTGGAGGCCTTGCGCGCCAAGCATCCACCGGCACCTACCTCCGTACCGGACTGGACCTTCCCTGCACCTGACCCAGGCCTATCTGCACCCTTCGCAGTGTTTTCCAAGGTGCTGGGAAGCTGTGAGATGGGAGTGGGAGCGGGCCCCTCTGGAACAACATTCGAACACTTACGTGATGCGGCGCTGATCAACCACTCCGTCGGGAAACACCTGCACGCACTCGTCAACACGATACTCACAGGAAAGCTACCACCAGCAGTAGCCGAGCTTCTCACTGCCTCGCGGCTGATTGCCCTCACCAAGCCCGATGGAGGAACGCGGCCAATTGCTATTGGCGAAAGCATCACACGCCTAGCTGCAAAAACAGCGCTTACCTTGACCGCAGGAGCCGCTAGAGAATTCTTCCTTCCGCACCAGTTTGGCGTGGCGGTTCCTGGGGGGGCAGAAGCAATTATCCACATCACACGCACCTATCTTACAATGCACACGGGGGCCTTGGTCCTCCAAGCGGATCTGGCGAACGCGTTCAACAGCGTGAATAGGGCAGCCATCGTCACGTCGCTCCGCGGATCCCCTCTCGCTTCCCTTTTGCCGCTGGTAAAACTGTTGTACGGCCTTCCCTCGGCCCTCTGCCTAGACGCCGGCTTCTCACACCCACCCCTTCTGAGCGAGACCGGAGTGCGGCAGGGAGACCCCCTCGGTCCACTGCTTTTTGCTGCTGCCATTCACCCTGCTCTGGCGAAGACGGCTCTTACCTTCCCGTCCGTGGTGTGCCTTGCCTACGCGGACGACGTCACCTTTCTTGGAGAGCCAGCCTCGTGTTCAGCGGCGTTTGACGATTTCACGGGGAACCTTGGGGAGATTGGGCTGCGCCACAATCCAGACAAATGCGCGGCGTGGTCACAGACAGGTCGGCGAGGAGCGGTGCTTCCAGAGGGCGTACCTTTCGTGGATGATGGAGTGAAGGTGCTCGGTAGTTTCATTGGTGGTACCGAAGCAACGGCGGCATTCCTGCGCGATAGCCTTGACAACATGGGCGGGCCCCTCCCCCCAACCGAGCGGATGGAGCCACAGTTGGCTTCACTTCTGCTCACGCGGTGCATCTCACGACGGGTCTCTTATGTTGCCCGCACCACACCCCTCTCTGCCTTACCTGTTGAGGAATGGTCCGACTGGGGCAAGCGCCTCTTCGAGACGTTGCTGACGGCTTGTGGCATCCGCCACCCCCGGGGGGAGGATGAGATTTCACGTACCTGGGCGCAAGCCTCGCTCCCGATCTCGCTTGGAGGCTTGGGGATAACGGACCCCTCGGTGGAAGGACGCGTGGGTTTCCTTGCAAGCTACACCCAAGCCCAGCACCTACTCACCTCTATTGACGAGGCAGCAATAGGCGCGCTGGCGGAAGTACGGATGCGGATGAAGGGGCCCTTTATCAACACGACCCCCCTATTTGATTGGCTGGAGCGGTGCGAGGAGTCGCTGCCGGACGAGGGAAAGGAGCTGCTGCAGAGCGACCGGGCGGATCCCAAGGGTGTCAAGTTGCAGCAGGGGCTGGCTATCGCGGTGCATGGCCAGCGCTACGCCGAGCAGGTGCAGGCCACACGCATCATGCCGCTGAACCCACTTAGCGGGCACACGCAGCGCATGCTCTCGCTCTCGGGGTACGGGGCGGGAGACTGGCTCAACGCGGTACCCTTCAACAGTTCGCTGCGCCTTGCCCCTGCCCATTTTGCTCACGCGCTGGAGTTTCGGATGGGGCTTCCCTCTTCGGCCGCTGGTGCCTGTGACTGCCGCAACGAAACGTTAATCCCAGATAGGCGGCTGCCCAACCATCTCCTGCGCTGTGACACGGGGAAGGGGAGGACAAACACTCACAACGAGCTGCGCGAAGAATGCTTACGGATGGCCAGCGACGCGGATTTCATGACTCACAGCGAGACGACGGCGTTCTGTCCCGTCACGAGAAAGAAGGCCGACATAGCAATCAGAGACAAGACCTCAGGGGCCGTGTGGATTGGGGACGTTACCATCACGGACCCCATTAGCACACGTGACCCCAACGCGGTCAAGGGCAGGGGGTGGGCAGCCCGTGAGGCGGCAGAGAAGAAGATCTCCGATTACGAGGGCTCAACGGCCTCGTGGGTCGGGTTCTTCCCACTGGCCGTCGACACTTACGGCTGCCCTTGTGCGGAAGTCCCCCAATTTCTCAAACTGCTAGCCGACACTGCCGCCCGCAGGCACTTCAATGCGGCCCCATCATCTTACCAGGCAACGAAGCTGCTACACCAGTTCCGCCAGCGGTGGTCCGTGGCGTTGCAGCGGGCTCAGTCCGTGGCCTTCATGACGAAGTGTAACTTCGCAGCTCAGGTGGAGAACCCACCTGTGGAGTTGCCGGGCGATGGCATGTCCCTTGGGGACTGCCTGGCCATCCTGGAGCCGGTTCTGGAGCTCCCTTAGAGGGGGCAAGGGTGTGAGTAGGATATAGGAGTGTTAAAGGCCCCTTGTTGCTTCTAGACCCTATATCCTTGGTGCATGTCTGTACTTGCTCGGATCTAATACACGGACCGCTTGAGAGAGAGAGAGAGAGAGAGAGAGAGAGAGAGAGAGAGAGAGAGAGAGAGAGAGAGAGAGAGAGAGAGAGAGAGAGAGAGAGAGAGAGAGAGAGAGAGAGAGAGAGAGAGAGAGAGAGAGAGAGAGAGAGAGAGAGAGAGAGAGAGAGAGAGATTGCATTGGGAGAGGGAGGAAATTTCATTGGAAAGAGTGAGTGCGTTGAGTGAACTATCTTCAATACGCGGAACTTATCTTCAACTGTGTGACGCCAGACAGACACTACATCTCACAGAACACACCTTTGCAGTTTTCAACTTCGAGCTGGAACCGGATGGCGTCAGGGTTTCTCTCCACCATGCGCCTCAGCACCTCCACCTCCTGCGACAGCTCCTCCACTGCTGCCGCGTCCTCCCCCCGTGCACACTGCCCCTCGCACCTCCCCTGCGCCTCCACGCGCTTGATCCTCTCGTCCCGCAGCTTTACCACCATCTTCAGCCCCTGTGGCACCACACAGCGCCAATCACACCAATCACGGCAGTCATGCAGTCATGCCAATCATGCCAGTCAAGCCAAGGACGCACAATTGTCAGGCAAAGAAAGCTGCAGCTCGCAGTAACCCCAAGTGGTCCACTGGGAGAACGGAGACAGTAATGAAAATGTGCCAGGCGGTCATGCACCTGCATACACACTACCAGGGCCACAGTACCTCACAACCTAGCGCTTGACAAACAGGACGGAGAGAACCAGCCTAAACATGATACCACTAGCCGAAAGCAGCCACCCACCTTCTCTTTTCACAGCTAAAATCACTGAATCCACCAATCATTCTCACCTGCACATTTCTCACGAGCCCTTCCGCCAGAGCCTCAGCAGCATCGGCCCTCTTGCTCTGCTTCGCCACCTCCTGCGCCAACTTCCTCTCCACCTCCAGAGCCCGCTTCGTGGACTGCGATATGATCTGCTCCAGGCGGCAGATGCGCTCGTTCTCTGCGGTGGGGGTGGAGCAGAGGGGGAGGAGAAAATGCCAGCACACAACGTAAAAGGGCAAACGTGCATGAGCTGCCGGCCTCTCTGCCTCTATTGCATGCGCGGTGGACTGCGAGATGATCTGCTCCAAGCGGCAGATGCGCTCGTTCTCTGCGTTGAGGTGGTAGAGCAGTTACATAAAGGAGCGTGGTCGGGAACAGTTGTACTAAGAAAGCACGACAAGAGGAGACCACCAGAAGGATTCACAGTCCGCCAAACAAGGCCCCAGGTGTCAGGGCGGGAACTACAATCAGAATGGGTTTTCGGCACTCTACCTGACATCGGCGCAGGAGAAGGGCTGGGTGGGAGCAGCAGCTGCCCAGGGACTCCCGCTGTCGCATTGGCTGCATGCACATAACATGAATAATCGGGGTCAGCCTAATCACACCTCAAGACTCCACTGAAACGTCAGAACCCATCACTTTCTCAGCGAACTATCTGAAACCCTCTTTATTTCTTCCTCTTCTTCCTCACTAAACGCACCTCTGAGTTCGGCGATCTCGAGGCGCAGGCGCCGGATCTCCTCGCCCATGACGGCGGGGTTGCCCATCATCAGCTCGTTCACTACCGCCTCGTTGTGCATCAGCTTGGCTCGCTGCGCGAACTTGAGAGTCGACAGGGTCTCTTCCATGTTACGCTCCGCAGGACTCACTGCTGCCAGCAGGGTGCACTTGGAGTTGCCACCCAGAGAGTCCTGAACAGAAGAAGAATAAAAACGCAATCAAAATTCAAAAACAAAAAGTATCACAAGGGTACTACATTTCATTCACTGGACAGTGTCAGGCTGAGGAGTTTCTTACACTTAGGAGAAAGGTGAGCTTCGAGTCTCGATAAGGCACATGGCGAACTTTCCCCTCTGCAATGTCAACCAAGGCCTGCAAAGAAACATACAATATCAGATGCCGTAGTCCACAACAACATAGCAAAATCCGCCGCTCAAATCCTTAGCAAATCTGCCACCCAAGGTAACCGTTTTTTACCTTGATGACGTTTCCCAACGCAGAAAGTGACTTGTTGATGCTCCCGGCCTCTTTCAGCCGCACCCCCTGCGCCTCGCTATGCTTCTGCCTCTCTGATCCTGCTAGGTCTACCAGATTGAACCGTGAATTCCTCCTCTTCATCACCCCTGCATCGTCCCTCCGCTGCAGCCCAACGAAACACACAGGAGGGAAAGATCCGCGTGAGATGAGAAGCAGCCGTTGGATCGTGAGACAGAAAACAGACATTGGATTGTGAGAAGCAATCAGGAATCACCAAAACCAGTGGCGACATGGAAGAAGAAAAGGTAGCAGAAAGGAGGTTTGACATTTAAAATGTACCTGGAACCAGTGGCAGATTTCAATCATAGTATATTCACTGGAAGCACGAGAACGGTAGTGTACCTGAGTCTCCACCACAATAGTGAACACGCTGTGAGAGCGGCTGCTCTCCATGTTCATAGCAGTCTGTCCCACACGCCGGTTCTGCGAGCCGCGCTTGAACAGCGCGTAGGTGGCGTCGGCTGTGGACACCACCACCTCCTGCAGACCCTCCACGAACATCCCGTGCCTCAGGTCCTCCCTCACATCTGCCACACCACACACATGAGAGAGGAAACATGATCACAGGTGCATGACAGTTGATGCAGGGCACACCATGAATGACAGCTGACGTATTACGCCTGATGCATGACAGCGCATGAAAATGGACGGAAGCACGAGAACAACAATGGTTAAACTAAGCAAGAGTCAGCGCACAAAAATATGTATGAGAAGACGTCTTCAGTTTGGTGCATGATTGGCGGAACATGATTCCAATTTCACAAGAAGGCAGTAAGGACTTACTCAGGTTCACCGAGTCTGGCTCGAGGAGGTCTGACACCTGGTCATTGTATATCTGCAGGTAGGAGCACCGGATGGTGAACTCAAGCATCTGCAGCTCCTGCACGCACAGACGCAACAGAAGATATGTAAGATATAATGACGTCTAGTGATATGTAGACAAAAACGATAATGGAAAAACCAGCAAAGAATTTGTTTCCACCGTAAGAATGATCAGGCAGAAAGGGTTAACCTTCTCAGCTGAAAGTCTCTGGAAGATGTACTGCAGAATTCGTGGAATCAGGCCGCGTTTGTCCACGCTCCGTTGACATCCTTCCCCTTCGCTGTCCCAATCCGGTCCTGTGAAATCCAAAAAGAACAAAACATGAGACTTGCCATAATCTGAGATCAACGAAGCTTAAAAAATGTCGAAATGATACGCAACGTCCGGCTTACCTTCCATCGTAAAGGTCTTGCCGGCTCCAGTTTGCCCTGCAAATCAACAAATGAAACCACAGCGAAGGAAATCACAGTTTCCATTGCAAATTAACGCATCGCGTGATGAAGTTTAGCAGATAAACCAAAGTGAATGCTTCTGAAACTACAGGAAATCAGTTGTTCCCGTACCATACGCAAGAAGGCAACAATGGTAACCTTCCAAACATGCATCCGTGATAGGTTTTCCAATAATCGTGAAGATGTCTTCCTGCAAACAGAGAGAACATAAACACAAGACAGACAAAAAGAACGTCAGTTCATTGTAAACACGGTCAATCAATCAATAGTCTGACTTATCAGCCTGATAAAAATTAAGGAATCATTGACAACCACGAATCGAAAGTGATTGTTAGCGGCTGTCACCTGCTGCGTGTCTTCGTCCGCGATATAGTCGAAAGAGAAAGGCTTCGAAGGAGGCCTTGTCGCGAGATGTAGCAGTTTTGAGCTGGGATCGACTGTTATGCATTTATTGTAGCCTAGATCGTTTTCCCGCTCGTTCGGGGGTCTTACTCGCACGACCACTTGGACGTTAGAGTTAGCTCTCGCGACGGCACCCGGATCTGGGTCTAACGAGCTGTGACGTTCTATCACCATTGTGTCTTCGGACTGGGTCTAAATAATGATCTCAACTGATAGAAGCGCGCTGCAAGAAATGGAATGGAATGAATCGGAAAATCGACAGATGCTGCAGGCCCCAATATCACGCAAGCGAGGAGCTTGACGTGGAGTAAACGACCAGATAGCCTCGCCTTCAGGTGATTTAACTTAAGCGCAACAGGTTCAGCCGATCGAGTTCAGGCGCTGCAATAGTCAAAACGCTACAAACAACGACGCTGCGTGGTTCCTAAGCTGATGACCTAAATTCCTAGAGCAAACAATGACAAGCACAGGGCTCAGCGAGCTGTAGTCCGTGAATGGAACAGGAACTGAACGTCACTGAACCCGAGTCCTTTCAGGATGGCCTTCCCCGTAAGGGGACTCGCTGCCTGAAAGGAGACGACACGGGTACCCACCCATTCAGGCATTGAGACCTCATCACTTGGTATACAGAAAGTCGAATCCGAAGCATCCTCCACATTCATTTTAAACGCACTTACCACGGTTCGGTTCGGTTTTTCCTGGTTTGAAGCGATCGGGGAAAGTAATTACTATGTACCGTGTGGAAACTTACTGAACCGCATTGGGGATCATTGATCTGGTTGAACAACCAACCCAATCAGGACAGCATGGCTTTGGGGGGAGCGGGGTTTGGGGACCTGCAGAAAAAAAATCATGTGGTTCGAATTCGTAGTGCACTGACAACGGAATACAGCAGTTTGGCGGGAACGTCTCTGACAACAGAGATTTTGAACAGAGCAACTGACAGCGAAGGCGGAGCGAAATATACGCTTTTTAAGCAACGACAGGGTAACACCATATATGTGCAGGTTGAGGATAATGTATTCTTCTCCACCTCGGTATAGTACACATATTTTTTCCCTGGTAAATGGATTCTTATAGGCCCCTAGGCCAAGGGTCAATTCTGATATTTTGAGAAGTCAGCTTTGTTGTTCTAGCTACAAAGTTCACATCCATATGCATCTCCAATCTTCAACAATCACCATACTGCACAAAACTTAAGAATGCACCTGTACCCATACGCTTCTTATTTCGGTCTCGTCAAAACCTTCCCACAGAGAGCGAGGTTGTTGCCTTCACGTCCTACGACAATATGTGACGACGTCACAATCCCATTCAAAGAACCACGGGCGTCGGCCTCCATCGTAGGATAATTATCAGCAGTAAATATGAAGCTGTAACGCTTACGGCCAGCCTTGGGATTTGTGATGTTAACCATAGGAAGTGTATTAAGGGTAGCCGTGAAGCAGGAACGCCCGAACCCCACCTTGGGGGTATTTCCTCCTTTGATGTTTAAGACTCGGAGATTGATGATCACCCTGTAGGCCGATGAGTACCTGCCAACCAACCAGGCAAGGAGAGATTCATGTGAGAGAGAGAATACTGCCATAGCACATCATGCTCCATTCAAGTCTCGCAAGAGCACACGACGGTTATTTGCGAACATCTAAAAAAAAGGGAGAAGAATCCAACGCGCAAGACTCGCAAAAGTCATCGTGACACCATTCAACGCGAGTGGAACAAGCGAACGAGGGGACAGCAGTGTACTTCACTGGGCTTAACAACAAGTGAACGAGGGGACAAACAAAGGGACGAACGAGGGGAGAGCAGCATACTTCACAGCCTTCAACAGCATTTTCCCCGAAGCTCCGTTGTCCCCAACAACTTTCCCGTTGCGCTTGGTGGGATGCAGAGTGGCCGTGTATTTCACTACACGGTTGTGGGAGGGATCGGAAAGATGGAAAGTTGGTGGCTGCTGATTTCGATTCATAATTAACGGGAAGCGGGGGGAGTGAACGATATAGCACACACACAAGCTACAGCACATTTTAGTTGAGTCAGCTGAAGCAAACACTTCATCTGCACAACTCATGCGGAAATATTCCAGGTAATACGGTGTTCTACAATGCAAAAGGCATAATGCCATCGTTTGGCCACCTATTGAATGTGGCCATCGCTGACAACATGAGGTTGCCCTGACAAACATGTTACAGATTGTCTTTCCCTGACGTAATACTGGCTGGGGACACTTACCGATTGTCTTTCCCTGCCACTCCAGAGGCCTGGCCTGAGCGGCAGAAGCGGCAGGAGAACCGCTGTTGTCAGAGAGAAGCGGCGCGAACAACGATGTGGCAGACGCGTGGTAGGCCGTGCAGAGAGCCGCACCTGCAGGCAGGCAGGCAGGCACGCACGCACGCACGCACGCACGCACGCCCGCACGAAGGCAGGCAGGCAGGCAGCACGATTGCGACGTGGGGCACGAAAGCTTAAAAGAATACGAGGCGAACGCGCCGAGATCAGAGATTGTAAACATTTAAGACTGTTTCTGCCATGGGAAGAAACCCGCCGCAGCGGCACTCTGGGTTTGCAGGGCTTACAGAGCAGCAGGCAACAGAGGCGGAAAGATGATGCGCAGAGGCGGAAAGATGATGCGCAGAGGCGGAAACCCGCAGCGGCATTCTGGGTTTGCAGGGCTTACAGAGCAGCAGGCGGCAGAGGCGGAGAGATGATGCGCGGCGCTCCATGATGCTGATCGAGAATGGTAATGGCGGCTTGGCTCGCCTGTTCGTCGAATGCGCGGCGCGGCTTGGCTTGGCTATTCGTCGGCTTGGGCTTTCGGCAGTAGTACCACAAGAGAATAGAGTCAGTGGTTAGAGTCACTACAGAATTAAGTTAGGTTGGGATTATGGTTGCCAGTAGGAAAACGCGGGAATAGATCAAGTCCTTGATGTGCCTGTCGCGGCAACGTGCCACACAGCCTGTGAGTGTGTCGAAGCAGGCGCGTCGGCGCGTGGGAAACTGTCCGTACAAGAAGGCGGAGAACACCCGCGGCATATCGGGGACAAGTGATGCAATGTATGATACGGTATTGGCAGCTTTGGCCACTCGGAGTGACACGTGCGCAAGAGACAGCGCCAGACGGGAAATGAGTCGATGCGGCCATCGATTTTCAGCTCGCTACTAAAAAGGACTCTCAAATCAGATCCAACGCTTGCCAAGCCGAATCGCCCTACAAAACCACCACGCGCTCTCGTGATATTTGAGGTTAAAGCCCAAGACCTGAATTACAATTGATGCTCACCCCATGCACGCGAATTTGCCTTGCGCCGGATGGATACGCTGCACCCGAGGTTGTTTCCCCAGCCTTATGCACCTACATTACAAGCGCGTCAAGCAGAAGAGACCGAAGTCAAGCAGAAGAGACTGAAGTCAAACTAGGTAACTAGGTAGCAGAGTCTTGTTTATAAGCACATGCGAATTCTTTTTAGCTAGCTGCGAATTGACGAAACTTATGCGAACTGCTCGTGACAGCTTATACGCCCCCTTCATAAGGCAACCGGGAGGGGCTCAAACAGGCATCAATTGTACTCAACGGGGGTCAACTGAGTTTTTGTAGGTTCGGCGGGCTGCCAGTTGGAGGTTCGGATGGGTTGAGTGACACGCGAAAAAACAAAACCACCTTGCGACTGAAAACAGTTCGCCACAAACTGTGCACTTGCTGATTGGTTGGAACAAACATGGCACACGGCCCATCCTCCCAAGTTCGACTCACCTGAGAAGCACGCGAAGGGAAAGTGTGCACAGTTTGAACAGGCAAACTCAGGCACTCGAACAAACATAACTACTCCTAAGTCCCCTTCAACCAGGCGCCACCTTAGCTTCTAGAAAAACGAGGAGGAGCCATTAGGAGCGAATGTCCTAATCGATGGACCCGGAAAGGCGCGATTTTTAGGGTGTTGAGGACACACACATAGGGAACAGGGCGGACGTATGAGACGGGGCGCCCCACATAGCCTTGTTACGCCACCACTCGCTTAGATTCCCACGCGCTCGAGGCGCCCCCAGCATCAAGCCTTCCTCCCTGCCCCTCACGTGGGCCCTCCCCGCCGTTTGCGAGCGCCGGCCATTCACATAGCGCATGGTGAGAAGCCTCCCGTCGGGCTCATCTCAGCCCCCCGTCGCCCACATTTTCAGCTTCCCGTCGCCCACATTTCAGCTTCCCGTCGCCCACATTTCAGCTTCCCGTCGCACGCATTTCAGCGGCCCGCGGCACGCATTTCAGCTTCCCGTCGCACGCATTTCAGCTTCCCGTCGCACGCATTTCAGCTTCCCGTCGCACGCATTTCAGCTTCCCGTCGCCCACATTTCAACTTCCCGACGCCCACATTTCAGCTTCCCGTCGCACGCATTTCAGCTTCCCGTCGCACGCATTTCGCGGCCCGTCGCCCTCGTATCCAATATTTCGAGACGCCCACACTTCCCGAGTCCGGTCGCCCTCCATTCCCTTCCCGAGAACCCTCATTACCGGACCCGTCGGCCACAAATCCCTTCCCGTCGCCCCATTTCCCTTCCCGTCGCACTCACTTCCGTTCCCGTCGCCCTCGTTTCCCTTCCCGTCGCCCACATCACCCTTCCCGTCGCACTAATTTCCCGTCCCCTCTCAGTGGTGATGGCGACGGGGACACGGGGGTCGCGAGGGTGGCGGTGCGTCAAGGCTGAGGACGATGTGAGGGGACAAGCGAGGTTGTCCAACTAACATAGTTTTGCGCGGC